GGGAGGGAAGGAGGGAGAGGGAGAGAGACAGAGGGAGAGAGAGCGAAAGAGAGAGAGGGAGGGAGGGGGGAGGGAGGGAAGGAGGGAGGGAGAGCGAAAGAGAGAGAGAGAGGGAAGGAGAGAAGGAGTTAAAGGATCGATATTGGATCTAAGGTCTTTGTATCATTGTAAAGTGCGTTGAGCATTTCCCAAGTGTGGGAGGATGACTGGCGTTGTGGTGTGGTTTGCTCCTTCTTTCCTCCCAAACATCTGTCGTCCCGATCTCTCCTCCTTCTTTTTTGTGTTTGTTACTGTCTTGTAACACCTCTAATCTTTGACACTTATGTGACCTTATTGTGTTGCAAGTGTCGTTAAACTGTTACTAAAACTATAACTCTCATAGTGGAAAAGTGCTGTACTAATGTATTTATTATTATTTATTATTAATCCTACTAAATAGTTGCTGAGCTAATTGTTGATGTAATCTTTTTGTACCTTTTCTGTGCTCTTTTCTGCTTTTTTTTTCTCCTTACGCCATTCTTCTTTTTCTTTCCTTTTCCCAGAGGACGAAGACTTTGGAATTTTACTGGAAGCTTTGAAAGGTAATCATCATCCGCTGCCTTGTGGACTGGCGTGGGCGATCCTGGACCTCCACTTCACTCTGTCTTGCGTTATGATCCATAATGTTCTAGGGAAAGAATACAGCAGTTGTTTCCCCTTGCCTTCTGCTGGATTTTTATATGGTTTACTCCGCTGGCCTTTGTCCAAAAGGACTAACCCACAAGGCAGTGGGGGCAGGTGGCAGGTTTCGGCGCCTCCCTCTCGCCTGACAGTCTCTTTACTGAGCACATGAGATATTCTATAGAGACAGGGTAATGGTATTGACGGAATACAATGAAAAATGAATGGTATTTATCAATTGTCATGAAGTAAATACATTAGAGTCGTCTTAGACCAAACGGTCGATCTGAAGACATCTGTAAACCAAAAGAAAATATAATTCTTTTTCTTCGCTATCGACAACCTTCTATTGTTCTTATGTCGCCTCCATCTTTTTTGTGTTTGTTGCTCTCTTGCAATGCCTCTAATCTTCGGCACTTATATTACCTAACTGTGTTGCAAGTGCCGTAAAACTCTTACTAATACAACCCAAGCCCCCCCCCCCAACAAGTCTACTTAGTTTCTTTCAAAAAGAATGTAAATAGTCTGCTAACTCTGCAAACATATTTTATGTAACATCAGACCAGGGTGTATATGCAGCAAATTATATACATCACTGGCTACCCGTTTGTGTGCAGTTTTAACAAATAAAATGGAATGGATTTTGTCTTCTTTCATGACACTGTCAACATGCCATAAGTCTACTTTTGAAAAGTTATTGTTCCTACTTGTATGTAAAGGTTGTAGTAATTCTCATTGCACTACACTCTTTCTTCCTTCAGATTATGACTTACGGGAAGCTGTCCCTAATCTCATTTGTGTCATCACTGGTAAGTTAATTAAAATAAAATAGATCAATGAATTACTGTTTGTTGATCCTCAAAGGGAAATTTGAGTAACAAGACAAACAGACATACAGACAAAAAGACTTACCGACAAACAGACATACATGATGAATAAATGTTGTGAAGTGCATAGAGCATGCTGCAGAGCATGGATGTGTCCTAAATAAATGCAATCATAATTACTATTATTATAATCATTATCATTTTTATTATTATTATGATTATTACTATTACTATTATTATTATTGTTATTATTATCATTATTATTACTATTATTACTGTTATTATTATTTAATCATTTTTCTTTTAGCAGTTTACATTAAAGACTTAGACTTGCCTTCCTTCCAACCAAAGGCTCGTACTTCTTCCACCTTTCCCTATCCAGGGTTAGCCTCTTGATATTGATGGTATTGATGATGATCTTGCTGTGACAAATAATGACGATACACTTTGACTAATTGTTTCCCAGGCAAAGGGCCACAGAAAGAGTTTTACAGTAAACAGATCAAGGAGAGACAGTGGGAGAAAGTTCAGTTCTGTCTCCCGTGGCTGGCAGCAGAAGATTATCCCCTTCTCTTAGGTAAGTCATTCTGTATTAAGCATTTGCACACATGACTGCTCCCAACTCAAAAAGTGCACTAAATTCCCTGAGTAGAAGAGAACAAGTCAGGATCTTTCGCCTGCGAACACAACACATCCCACTGAATTCCTACCTAAATAGGATCCGCAAGGATACCCCACCCGACTACACGTTGTGTGACTGCCAGGATGAAACAGTACCACACCGCCTCTTTACCTGCCCAGTACTTAGCGACCTGCGTAGTACCTCCCTACCTGCCTCCCCAGACATCGGAAATACTTTATACAGCGACAAAACACAGCTGATTAAAACCTGTAAATTCTTTGCCATATCTTAGAACCCAGGTGGTTTCTGGATCGGAAAAGTAAAGTAAAGTAAAGTAGGTAAGTCTTTCCACATCACGCACGATGGAAAGACTGAGGGAAGCTGGTGTCTCTAGAGGGTCGGGGAGAGACAGCAACCTGCGTGGAAAAGCCAGATGGTTTAGTAAGTGTTTTACAGCACTTGCAACACAAAAAGGTCATATAAGTGCCGAAGATTAGAGGTGTTACAAGAGAGTAACAAACACAAAAAAGAAGGAGGGGAGATAAGGAGGATAGTTGTTTGATAAGAAAGAACAAGCAAACCACTCCAGAAAAGCCAGAAGAATATCCAACCAGCTGATGACTGGCACGATCAGCAAGCAGACCTTTCTTGGATCCTGGAGAGGAGGTGGGGCCAGCGATGGCATTGTTCTGTCTACAATGATACCTATTTTCCAACCAGATAACCAAGTCGTTCTTTGTGTGCATATTCAGTCTCTTCATGAGCATGCGTGGGTGGTTGGTGGGTGCTCTGGTGTAGTTTGCTTCTTCTTTCCTATCAAACATCTATCATCCTGATCTCTCCTCCTTCTTTTTGTGTTTGTTACTCTCGTGTAACACCGCTAATCTTCGACACTTATATGACCTTATTGTGTTGCAAGTGCCGTAATACACTTACTAAAACTAAAACTCTTGAGCATGCTGTTAGCTCAGTTTTCAGTTAGTATCATGTTGGATTGCAGAGCAGATAGTTTTAAAGAATCTCCACCCATTTGGCTCAGCTCTGTTGGACATGGCTCTTGAATTTGAAGGTCCTGCCTTTTGAATAACCTCACTGTGTTGATAGAGGTGTTGCTCCTGTACAATTTGGCATTTTCACAAACCTCTTCATTTCAACACCCAGGGACTGCTTGGCCCCGGGGGGGAGTGTAAGTATGTCAGCTTATACGTTTGCTACTTAAAATGATAAATAATAAGGATAATAATGAAAAAACAGCATTTTTATGCAGCACATTTCTGTTTTCTTTTTAAAAAAAGCTCAATACACATTACAGTCAAAGACATCACATTTAAAAATTACTTTCCAGGTGTATATGTACAACATTATAATATTTATGGTAATAAATATAAATGTAATACTTATGTACCAGGCACTATTTTCTCACTTTCTTGTCACAGATGAGCCTTGAAACTTCATGGGATGATAGAAAAGGAATTGCCGTACTACCCTGTGGTATTAATGTGGATATAATCAGACCTGCCAAGATAAAACATGAGCTCTGTGATGTTTATGACACATCGAAGAAGGCCAATCAGATTCGCATAAAATCTGATTTTTTTTCTTGATTCCGTCAGCTTGTGTGTGACTTATCGTAAATGATGTGACAATTCACAATTTTAGTTGCATCTGTTTGCAATATTTGCACCACTTATAGTAAATTATTTGAAAACACTCATTTCTTTCTGTGTTTATTTGCAATATTTTCAGGACTTATTGTAAATAATGTAAAGAGACATGTTTTTACTTTTGTGTATTTGTAATACATAACTATTTGCCTCAGTGGGTTTGTTACATTATCTAAAACTACTGGGGTTCTGTGGACTCCAGTTTTTTTTCCTCCAAACTCCTATCTTTGTGGAAGATTCTGAGGAAAACTGCTGTTTTTGGTCTTGAAGTAATTGGAAAGTCTGTAGAAATCTTTCTCCATTTGACCAAGCCAAAACTGCTCACGTATAGGGCCAAAGACTGACTCTTTTGATGTAAAGATAATTATATTCATTGCCTGTTTTACATAGTGCATATCCACACTGCAGCATGCTCTATGTACTTTACAATATATATTATTACTATTTATTACTATTTAATTTTTGTACCTTTCTTCTATAATGCCCATGTACTCATTGGGGATTAGAAATAGAGCCTGAGGCACTTAAATGGCAGTCGAGATTGATAGTGACTGAACTAAGGACATTCCTTCCAGATTTGTTTCATTCGATGCGTTTGCTTCTTACGCAGGGTCAGCTGACATTGGTGTGTGTTTGCACATGTCTTCCAGTGGCCTTGACCTCCCAATGAAGGTTGTTGACATGTTTGGCTGCGGGCTGCCTGTGTGTGCCGTCAAGTTTGAGTGGTATGTCTGTCGTACACTGTGCTTTCCTTCTTTTGTATTGTTGTCACAGATGACCAGCTTTTTGAAGACGTCAATAAGTCAGTTTATTTTCCAGCTTTCTGTATGAACTAGTATTTTGACTTGGGTGTTTTGATGCAGTTGGGGGGGTGAGGTAAGGCATTTACCACTGGGACATTAGAGTATCGTCTTGTCTTATCTTATCATATCATATCTTATCTTATCTTGTCTTATCCTATCTTGTCTTGTCTTGTCTTTTCTTTTCTTATCTTATCTTATTAGACTGGCATACATTAGGAATGTCAAAGTGCAGGGAGTGTAAGACATCAGACCTACAATAAGTGTGTAGGTGTGTGGGGTGGGGAATGGGTGGTAAAGCATAAGACTGGCAGTCCCAGGATTGTTTTGTTATTGTTATTGTTTGGTTTCCTCACTCAGCAGGCTGGCGGCCGGCTCTATTTCTTATGTCTCAGGAGGAGCATTTCTAGTCATAATTCAGACCCGTCTTTGACGGAGCTTGTGGAATGAATATTTAACTTTTGCTTCACCAAATCAAAAAAAAATTATTTTGTGGGTCAGCTGGTTTTATCACAAAGGTGATGGTAATTACATTTGCTTTGATATGTCTGCAGTGTATGATAATGATCTACATCGCGACGTCAGTTATTTCTTGTCCTATCTCCATTTTTTTAACGTTGAAAATGTGACTTCTTCTAAAGCTCACTCTTTGTTATGGACTCCTTTCACTTTTATTAAAAATGGAGATAGGACAAGAAAGCACTGAGGTAGCGACATGATTAAGAAGTTCAGATGTCCTGATTGTGTCCCCTGTTTCAGTATTGATGAGCTGGTGAAGCATGACGTCAACGGTCTGATTTTCCGAGACAGCTCCGAGCTGCTTACCCAGCTGCAGGTACAGAAGAAATCTTTTTCCAACAATATTTCTGTTTGTTTATTCGGAGAACCCAGTAACGTAACTACCATGTTAACTCTTTTAGGACGGAGAAGACATATACGTCCGATCAGTAGCTCTCTCTCTTGCCCTTTTTAACTCCCAGTGGAACATAGGCCATCAACAACATTTCTCGAGGAAGCATGTCCTGTGCATCCTTTTCTAGCTGTTTCCATGATGTTCCTGCCGATCAGCAGCAGAGCAAAGGAAATGTTTCAGCACATTCAAACCATCATACACAAATCACAAAAACGAGTTTGCAGTACTGTTTTCATAGTATGTATATTGTTGCATTGTTTTTAAAGTTTTATGTAAAGAGAACAAATTCGAAAAATCCGTTTGAATTGTGAAGTTCTGCCCCTAAAACAGCACTTCTTCTTGCGTTGTCGAATGGCGAGAATGCGGATCCTCAGTGAGTCAACACATTTTGCTCACAATTCACCAATATTCAGCACCAAATCAAGACAGGGGGCCAACCTCCGAAACCCCCCAAAAAACAAACTTTCTTCCTGATTCTTTCAGATGTGTGTCACTTCTGTTTTAGTCTTTCTTTCTTTCCGTCTTCTGTTCCTGTTTTACTTTTCCCCAGCTCTGAATGACCATTATTGTGTTATAGCTGGTTCACCTTCGTCTGGCAGTGTTAAAAAAATTCTAGCTCAATGAAGAATTTACCAATGCCCACCAAACTTTGCATGTCACTTCTGCAGGCCAGTGACCAAACAAAAATATATTGTTTTTTAAATTGACCCAGTAATAAAAAAGTTTTTCTCTTTGGGCCCTATATTAAAAACCGCTCTTTGGATGCATACACAGGATCACTAAAATAAATGACTTACAGTAACTTGCCTACAAATTGCTCATTTTGAGACAGCGACACCACCCTGCCCCCACATTTCAGTGTAAGCTTGTAGATTTCATCCCCCGGCTGTCTAGACATCTCCATGTGCTCCATGCGAGTCTCGAAAAATACTCACTCTGTCTCTTGAATCATGTTTCTTTGGGCGAACGTTAAAGTGTGGAGTTGAGGAAAATGTGTCAACTGTTTAAGGTGTACGCTGTAAATCCCATATGATTTTTTTGACCCGCTTTTGGCTTACATCAAAGAAAACGGGTCGGAAGGTTAGTCTGCAGTGACTTTTATGAATGGGCTTTTAGATTCTGTTGGTCACTTAAATTTTAGATCAGCATACAAAGACCCAGAAAGATTTAACAGAGCGATTTGTTTTTATCGCGTTTTAATCGTGGTCAGACGAAAGTGAACAAGCTATAGTGTGCTTCTCTTTACTCACACATGAAACTCACGTTTTCGTCTTTCAGGATCTTTTGGGAGGGTTCCCTTCAAATCAGGGCAAGCTGAGTACCTTCCGGAAGAACTTGGAGCTGTTCCAGTCGGTGCGCTGGCACGACCAGTGGAAACAGCTGGTGCTACCCATCTTTGAAGAGATCGGGGCGACTCAGAAACCTTCGCAGTTCCGTGTTCAGACCGGATCAGGGATTCCTGAGAATTTTGACGATATCGGAAGTGAAGATGGAGAAAACAGCGGGAACGTTCATCCTTCTTCAGCCGGAGAAAGTGGGACTGGTGCAGCGCAGGAAGGAAAGAAAGAGAGATGAAAGACTGGAGATTAGTCGATGAGTGAAGCGGTGTTTGCGGAAGGTTGTGTGTATATGTTTGTGTGGTCTAAGGATTTTGAACAAATCTCTACAATTACTGTATATACTTGCCTATAACACGAGCTTTTGTGTCTAATATGGGATAAATTTCTGACATATTGAAGGGGGCTCAAAACACATGAAATAGAAAACAACATGTCGTAGGGCATCAAATATAGTGTCTTGCCTTTGAGTTACTGTATCGAGATTGATTTAATTTGTGAAACTAGAGTGACATATATTCCAAGTAAAGTGCTATACTGTGTTGTGGGTGGTTGCTCATTGGAAAATCCTATTTAGCATTACTTCCCCTTTGTTTGACCCAATACTGGTTGTGTGTCACGCGAATAATAAAATTGGGGGTGGAGGGTATACTTTTGAACCTCATTTTTTTTTTTTTTATTATTTTTTTGGAGGGGGGGGGGGATCGCCCGTATTATAGGTCAGTACATACAGTAGTGTTCACAGACGCGAGAAAGGTTGGAGTTAATAGATTATTGCTGGCACGTTTTTTACCTTGCCACTGCTGGCCTCATACCTTAAGTTTAAGCCCTGTGCCATGTTGCAGTATTTGGAGGTCGATTCAAGAGGGTGGTGACTGTTTCAATTTGTCTGACAAGTTTTGGGCAAGTCGTTTGAACTGAGTATTGATTATTTAAGTTTGTTTGACATGTTTTATGCTTTGTGGAAGTAGTTTGAAGTGGGTAGTGACTGTTTAAATTGTTTGACAAGCTATGTGGAGGTTGATTCAAGTGGGTAGTGACTGTTTAAATTGTTTGACAAGCTATGTGGAGGTTGATTCAAGTGGCTAGTGACTGTTTAAATTGTTTGACAAGCTATGTGGAGGTTGATTCAAGTGGCTAGTGACTGTTTAAAATTATTTGACAAGTTTTGTGGAATGGGTAGGGAATGTTTAAATTTGTTTGACAACTTTTGTGGAAGTCGTCTGAAGTGGGAAGTGATTGTTTAAATTTTTGTGACAAGTTTTGTTATTTGCCCTAAGTTCTTCTCTGTCCCGTCCATGTTGAAAATGGAGTTTTAAAAAAAGCTGATTGGGAAATTCTGTCGCTTTTATCCATGGTGTGGGAAAAAAAAAGAGAAAAATATGTGAAGAAAGGTCTGCCGATTCACTTTAAGTTGTAAATAAAATGCCATGACATGGCTGTGTTCATTTATGCAAAAAACAAAATTCCATTACTACATTTCTGAAAAAAAAATTTTTTTTTTGAAGAGACATGGAAATGGATAAAAAGCAAAACTTCATTATTGCTTTCTTGAAGAAGTTAAAATCAAAACATTTCTTTTCTTTGCAGTTATAACATGTTTAAGTTTTAAGTTTAACTTAGTTTTACATTGAGGTGCATCAGCTTTCTAAATAGAGATGCTGTTGTTTTGAGTTCTTGTTTTGCTGTTTCATCATTTGAGGTAACCGTACTATGTCTAGACTATGTTTGACAATTATAACAGGAATAGGAATTTATTGATTATTTTGCTAAATGGAATTGTATAGGTTCAACGACCCTTGCAACACTGTAAAGTTATTTAAAAGGTGGAATCATTTTGCTTTGAGTAAAAAAGTCAGCTTTTAAAAAAACGAACACAAGAAAGAAATGCTATTTTGTAACCCTTCTTTCTCGACATCAGATCTTGACGTTGGTTCAGCCAACACCTTTTTTTTCTCACTCGTATCTTTTTGCCAAGGTTTTTGACTTGGATCTTTATTGTAGGCCTATTTGTTTATCTCATATGTGCACATATGTGCTACTACTAGTCACTACTACTAAAGCTCAGCAGGCTTGTTCTATCAGAGACCGACGTTAGATTTGGAGGTCCTGTCTCTTGAATAAATATTTTTAGCACCATTTTTCCTTTAATTTGCTCAATCGAAAGCCTGATCAGTTACCCTACTCGTTTAAAAAAAATCAAAGTGAAACTGTGACTAGTTTTTTAATATATTAGAATTCAAGTTTAGGAAGAACGTTCTTTTTTTAAATGGTTACGCTTACAAAATGTCTATTTATCTCCAGACTGCTGTGTATTAAATAAGGTTAAATAAGGCGTTTTGGCTGCGTATGGCAGAATAGTGTTGATAGAGGCGTTCAACCTACACACTAACATTCTGAGTGGTCCGGTGTGGAAGAGAGTGAGGCATGTTACATATTACAATTTTCAGTTTCTGAATTTCAGGTACCTCTTGTTGCAATCGTGTTCATTAAATTAATTCATAATGCTGTCGGTTTTCATTATTGCATTTGATTAACGAAATAAAGCTGTTGGGAGTTTTTTCATGCCATCGTTTGATTTTGATGTACAATTTTATTTTTTTTTACATTTGTGTGAAAAATGATATTATTTAATTACCACTTTAATAATTTTATGTTGAAACATTATTTAATTTACTTGATGGGTTCAATGACGGATATTCTCAAGACTGGATGAGAGACATTTCATCTCAGACTGGACGGGCAAAGAGACTAAAATTCTACCGAAAATTGTCACTGGGCTAGCAAACTGGCACATCTCATTTTTGTTACTTTTGAGATAAATGGAAAAATCTGTTTAACACTTTGTCCCCACGGGACGCGGATCAAGCGACGGAGTGATATAGCAACAAAAACGTTGCAGCAATGAAATCTCGTTTTTAGACATGCACATTTGTTCAAGTTCAATTTCTTTTCTGAATGGTTTGTGTGGCCTTTGAGGTTGAAATTCAGTTAGTATACAATTAGAGTGAAAAAATCTTTTTAAATGTCTCATAGACCTAGCATGAGAGCTGTTTTATTCCTACGCCATGACAAGAATTTGGGTGATGAATGAGCTAGATCTGATGTTTTCAGTTCCGCTTCTATTTCCTTTTTTGGTGAAAATGCGATCGTCACTTTCAGTTTCTCAGTATGCTGAAATGTTGATAATGGTTGGGGTATTTTTACCGAGATACAGGTGTAGTACTGATGTACCGCTTCTGTATCCTGGTGCGTGGGGACAAATGTGTGGTCTGCGCTGTGCACATATTGGTGAAACATTTACTTTTAGTGAGTCCGTCATCCATGGGTGGCTGGAAATTGTTAATTAGATAATTAGACTATTTTACATCTAATAATGGTAAAAATTGCCTTGTGTGTTTCTTTTGTGACTGCCAGGACATTTTGGTTTTGATTTTAACAAAAGGTAGATATATATATATAGCACCACCAGACAAAATAAAAGGCGAGTTGCTTTTTGGCACAACTTTTGAGTTCCTCCATTTTGCTAGCACATTGATGAAATTTAATTAAGTTCACATATATATGGACTCCAAAAGTAAAGAGTCTTGTGCGTTTTTGGACTCTGTCTTTTCAAAGCTGGTATTTTGTCCTCCCGATGGATGACGGACTCACTAAAGTAAATGTTTCACTTTTAGGTCTACGTGCACAGAGGGTTGGACAAGAATTTAAAACGAATGTAGGTGTTTTTATGCCCACATTAACACAATTTAGACCATTTGGAAGGCGGGCTTCCAAAACCCTCTTGTCAGGGCCAACCCGGGCCTAGAGGGATACAATATCCCAGAAGATAGACAGAGATAAAAATAATTCTAATTACTCAGGAATTGAACTTAGGTCTCTTGTGTACAACAGCTAAGTGCCTAACCACTACACCACCGACACTAGTGGCCCAATGTTTGGGCAAAAACATAGAGAACGCCGATTTCGGAGACTGACTCAGTTAAATCGCCGATAGGTATAAAAATTCCCTTATGATTTCCAACTTGCCCCACATAGAGCTGTCCCCGTGGTTTTATGCACCCCGCATAATTTAGCAAAATTTGATCATTTTTTTGCATAATCTCTAATTATTTTCCTTCCTCACTCTTTGTTAAGATTAACAGAATCGAATAATTTCACATTTTTGGGCTCAGTTTGCATAATTTCATAATTTTTTTTGCATAAAACCACGGGGACAGATAGAGCTGGCATACTGCAGGTGGCTTTTATAGCTGATTGGCGCTGTCGGCGTTATCGGAATCCAAACTACATTCTTAATACTTCGAAAAACTGGGAAGGGCGTCTCGCTGTCAACTCTCAATGCCGTCTCACCGTCGCCAACTCGGGTTCTGCGGTTTGCGTGACGTCACCCGACTGGACTAGGGAAATTATAAATGGTCGTTTCAGAGGTGGTGCTTCACGTAGATAAAAACTAATTCCATTTATTAAATCAGCGTTGTCAAATTAGGGGGCATCTGCGCAGAATTAAAATTTAAGCCACATTTTAGGACATTTGTGTTTTTTTCTGGGTTTCTTCTCCTAAATGCTTCATCAATACCAGCTGAGCTGTGGTGTAATTTTTTTTTTAGGTCTAGGCTTTACTGTGTGTCAGTTGAGTGTTGAGTGTGAGAATTTGAAGAGCTGAGGCCTGTTTTCCATTGTGCGTCTACGAAGAGAACTAGATAGATGATCTAGACTAGATCTATGCAAGTGCGAGCTTAAAAGGAGCTGCAACAAACGCCCTCTATGTGGAGTCCAGCAGACACCAACTTGTGCTTGTCAGCGTCCATCTTCAGTCGCTGAAGTTTTGGCGTTCTCTATGTTTTCGCCCCTAGTCTACCTCTCTATTGCCAGTTCAACAGAACAAGTAATACCCCTGCCCTGACCTGACTTTTGCCACCAGGCTCAAATCTTCCTACCGGTCACTAACACGTAAGTCTTTAAAAGGCAGTCATATCTCCCACGACGCAGGTCACCCCCAAATGACCAAATTGCCCACTATAGTGCGGAAAAAAATTTGTGGCACAACTTATCCTCAAATTTCTCTTCAACCGGTGAGTCATCTATACTCTGCTCAGCAGTTTGTAACAATTTGTCTTAACTTAATCTGTCCCCATAGTTTTATGCACCCCGCATAATTTAGCAAAATTTGATCATTTCTTGCATAATTTCTGATTATTTTCCTTTATCATTCTTCGTCAAAATTAACAGAATTGCATAATTTCACATTTTTGGGCTCAGTTTGCATAATTTCATTTTTTTTGTACATAAAACCACAACAGAGGCTTTATTAAAAAAACTTTTCTTCTTAAATTTATATAAAATACTATAAATTTTTGTCGCGTAGAAAATGGGATTATTCACAGCACTTCCTGCTTTTCACACACATTTTACATACGCATATATATATGGCCTATGTCACAGCTCAGCAATGGCACTTTGTAGGGGCAAAACTTTGTTACTGGAAATTAATTTATTGTGAACGCTACTTTTGCACTAAAGTTTTGCAAAACATGCGTTCAATAAGCATAATTTCGCAATTTAAAAAAAAATGACAGACTTGTTTATAAAAGCGATATTGTCCCAGCTGTAAACCTTTTAAAATCTGTAGAAACCATCCACTGGGATATTTAATTTGTATTTATTCAGAAATTTTCTGGAAAACAGCTGACAGGTATTTATAAAAATATAGATCTGTCAAGCTAAATTGATACACATCATTGTGCAAAAGCTGGAGAGTCTATGTTCGATAGTCCAGGAGAAATTTTGACAAAAAGTTGGGCCATGAATTTTTTACTACACTATAGTAGGCAATTCCAGCCAGGTAAGCCAGCAATGATCTTGCCACTTTTGATGTACAAACTTTTATTTGGTCACTTCTGGTGAAGGTAAGGGTTTATTTTTCTTCTTTTTTCCCCCTTTTTTTTGTAAGTGTTTTACTGCGCTCGCAACTGCATAAAGTCATATGAGCACGCGGGACACACCAAACATTTTCAGTTGGTAGGAAAGTTTGAATTTTTCCCCAGGTGGCGGCCGAAGCCTACTGATATCGATTTTGGACCACCAAGGGATCTTTAACGTGGGCAACTTGCACACTGGGCCTCCGAGATTTTTCGCCCTTGTCCGAGAAGGCTAGGTGGAATTCTTTCCTACCCTAAGATCAGGGGTGTGGCTGAAAGACAGCAGTAAGAAGAAGCCAAGGAGAGGCAGTAGAAAGGCTGCAGAAAGAGCGAGGAGCCCAGAGGAGGGTGAAGGGGTGGGGGCAGAAAGTGGAGATGAAAGCAGACCACAGAACATTGCTAGAAAGCAGGAAAGGAGGTGAAAGGAGACAATTTTAGAGAAGAAAATTTTTCCATCGCTACCCGAATTCGAACCCGGGACCTTTGAACACGTTAACCTGTAGGCCACGAGAGCCCCCCTTCCTTCTTCTGAACTCTCGGTCCATATTCTCACTTGAAAGAAACATCCAACATAACATTGAAAACAAAAGAAGACAAGAGTATAAATACGAAATATTTATTTATGCTGTAATAAAAAAAAAAAATAACAATCAAAACCTCAGACATATGTCAGTAATAATGGCAGAACACTAGGTATATTTTGAATTACTGTATACACAGACAGGGAAATCACATGCTAACTTGAAAGGCATTATGAGTAAAGTGGGGAAATATAGACCAACCCACACACATAGAGAAACATTTGTCCCCCTCTTCTCAAGTACAGAAAGATTTCCCAACAACTTAAGTAATTGTACCATGAATCCATCCGCTTTGTTCTCTAACTTGAGACAACATTTATAACATAATAAAATAAATCATAGGAAGCGCCGAAAAAAAAAGCAGATTGCAAGAAACTCATTTTTATCAAAAAATCTCACACCCAGAGGTCTAGACTTTAGAAATAAATCAAGCCTGACCTACGAACTATCAAGGAAAAAAATAAATAACTCAACTCATAGCAAGAAAAAGTAGTCTCAACAAGTTGAACTTAACCATGGGTACCAACATGTCAAATGGTCGCTTCTAAGGACAAGCGAGCTAACCAAGATTCGGGGGTTTCCAGAAATCTTGACCTACACCAAAAGTGGACACTGCCCTACCTATAGGAGAAGTTTGGTTTCATTCGTGTGTATATTTGTTTGGTTATAGAGAAAACTCTCCTTGCCTTTTACAGAAACTGAACAAGGGGCAAATATTTTACCTTTGATTTTCTCAAAACAGCATTTTTCGGGATAGCCCCCTTGTGCTTAAAAGCGACCAAATAAGGACATACAAAGCATTGTTTTATTGTTGCCGTAAGAAAAGTGTTCTAACCATGTTAGATCCTCCTCTGAGGGAGCGCCGAAATCTAGAGATTAATTTTCCCCTGTGAAAGTGACAATTCGTTCACGTATTCTTTTAGATCTGACAAACAAACACAAGTTTTATCAGCAGAAGCTCCTGCAGCAGTCAAAGCTGAAAGAAAAAAATATATAAATAATTTTCTGACATTCTCAATGATCAAACAGGAAAAGGATTTTCTTCTTAACATTCTTTTTTTTAAATTTTGAAGTAAGCGTTTTTTCCACCTGTGTTGACACAATTTGGATCATCTAAACAACAGGCTTTTGACCCTGTTTAGGCCAACCCTGGTCGAGAACGATAGGGGGCCTACAACACCTCAGCAGAAAGAGCGAAATAACTTGCTAAAAATTCTCCTCATGTGGCAATAACATTAGGGTCTTCTGCGAGCAATAACGAAGTATGTAACCGCTATGTCATAGATTCTGGTGCCAGAAAAGATTACACCCCAAAACTTGCCAGAAAAGATTCCCCTCACGCTTGCCAGCCAGAAAAAATTACTCCGCACTTGTCAGAAAAGACTAAACCCTCCCCCCCTCCCCCACAAACTTGCCAGAAAAGGT